TAGAAAGTTGTATTTGTAAAAATTTTTCTGACTAAAGCCACGGTTGATTGATGTCGTCAATAGCTTACTAACACTTTGATGAAGCCCACCACTTAACTAAAGTAATTAGATAAAAGTAGATATTGTTTTCATAAATATATGTATTATTTTCAACACTCTAAACCAAAAACTGCGTATTGATAAAACAGCAAAGTATTTAGTTATAACCGGGTAAGGTAACCACAACAAGCACCTTTCTGCCGAGCCTGCATGCAGATATTTTTACATGAAAAACTTAATATGAAACTATTTTACAAAACAATTACAACTACCGCATTAGTTTTATAATGGAAAGTTAATAGCCTAAACTTTGTTTGTAAAATTTTCGTTTCTACTTGTAAGTAAACATACAAAAATAATTTCCCTGAATTCTTTATGCGAAAAATTATAAAAATAAAATAAATAAATAATAAAAATTAACTAATGCGCAGACCTTAAAAGTTACTACAAACTTTGACAGCTTAGCTGCGAAAAAGCAGCAAAAGCTATGTTGAAGTTTTTATGTACATAAACGCTTCAAGGCATACAAGCTTACATACATGCATACATATGCATTTATACATATTTACATACTTATGTATATTGTATATAAAGAGCACCCTCATTTCAGTAACTACATATATATGTGTCGTTATGCCATTCCNCAAGGCATACAAGCTTACATACATGCATACATATGCATTTATACATATTTACATACTTATGTATATTGTATATAAAGAGCACCCTCATTTCAGTAACTACATATATATGTGTCGTTATGCCATTCCGAGCGGATGCGGAAGTAAAATAAATTCGCCTAATACATCCTACTTGTCGAGTTGTTGATTTGCAAAATTTTCTACAATTTCCGTTTGTTGGATGTAGTCTTGGGCTTTACTTCGTTCAGCAACCGAGCCAAATAGGTGGCATTGCCAAAAGAAGTACTGAAAACTTATGCCCCATTTTCAGAAATTTGCTAATTTGGGAAAAAGCCTTGGCAACTAGTAAATGCCAGTTAGAAATTGTTAGCAAAACGAGTAGCATTAAGAGGAAACCATTTTGCACTAACAGCTTATAAATTTGAGATAGAAAACAGTAGAAGAAAGTTAATATGTCGTTTTGTGGCGGTATCTGTGCATATGTTTCGGNGGAAAAAGCCTTGGCAACTAGTAAATGCCAGTTAGAAATTGTTAGCAAAATGAGTAGCATTAAGAGGAAACCATTTTGCACTAACAGCTTTTAAATTTGAGATAGAAAACAGTAGGGGAAAGTTAATATGTCGTTTTGTGGCGGTATCTGTGCATATGTTTAGGTGAGAGGACACCTATACATATATGTATGTTTACATAGCTGTGAGCTGATGTTAACAAAGTAAAAAGGATAATTAGCCGCAACCAAATTGAGCAACGAGCACAGTTTTTGACTTAAGCTTACAAAGCGCACCGAAAAAAAATTTACTGACTAAGCACAAATGACCTTGAAGAGTTCAAGCTGATTATTTTTAAACTAAAAGTATAATTATATCTCCAGAATAATTTATTTCGTCGCTCGTAGGGTGTAGCAAATCTCAAATTACCACAGAAGTGCCGCACATTTCATTATTCGCATCGAAGAGTAGCACATTTCAGATTCTAGATTTTCTGAAAGTATCGAAAGAATCCAGTAATAAAGCTCTCGATGTCCCGGACTAAGCAGTTTTCAAAGTGNAGTGCCGCACATTTCATTATTCGCATCGAAGAGTAGCACATTTCAGATTCTAGATTTTCTGAAAGTATCGAAAGAATCCAGTAATAAAGCTCTCGATGTCCCGGACTAAGCAGTTTTCAAAAAAGTGAAAAAAAAACTATTAAAAAAATGTCGGAGCCAAATTTAAGGTTAAGATGTATATATTGTAAAATTTCATGGCAATTATTTCGTAGAACATTTTAACCCATTAGTCATTTTTAGCCTTACTTCAAGAAACCCATCAACAAGCAAATTTAGAAGGTGGTGAGAGGATTAAAATCTTGCAGAGAATTTTTCTTCGGAAAATTTTACTAGGGTTCTTCTCAGCCAAAAACTTCTTGTCAACAAAGTAAAAGTCTCTAAAGAATTAAATCAAAAAAATCTATGCCAAGAAGGAATAACAGCCAAACTAAATTAAATTTTTTTTTTTTTAGCAAAAGGCCAAGTTTTTTTTTTGCTGCAAACAAGTATTATCGGTTATATTAGTATTGTAGTCCATTTCGCCGACTATAGGCTCAATTGAATTCGTCCACAATTTGCAAATATTGAGTGATCAAATAATAGAAGAAAAGAAGTTTTGAAAAGTATTCCTACATTTTCAGTTGTTGACCAAAGTACAGGCTTGTAAAATATAGTATAATGGGCATCTAAGTTACCATCTGTTGAGGTGTTTGACTATCACGAAATTTACTGACCATGTACGTCATGGCTAAACCAAGCTGGAAAACTACACGAAAGTTGTTTTTTGATGGTTTTTATATCACTTGCCTAAGCCACTTTTAGAGAGAATAAGAATATTTTATTTATGATCCACTAGGTGGCGCCTGCGTCGAAGTATGGGTAGAGATTATATTCCTGGTACGTACCATTGCTTCAAAATTCGGCTTTGAATACATTTCCAAAGCATATATAAAAATTTTAGTAACTTATTTATTTTCGCACAGGAATCCTCAAAGAGATCCTCTCTATAATTTCTTTACAAAAAGATAATTTTATCGTATTTGCAAACACATGTTAGGTCATAAAAAACTTCCACCGATTTCCATCATACTTATAGATAGGCACATACGTACACACATTTATTTTCCGGAAACACATAATTCCTCGTACGGTTATACAAGCGCAATAAATTTCACCGAAGCGTCATATGTTCCGACACCGAATATTGGACTAACATAAACACTTGCCAATGTAAGGACATGTGGACATGGACAAGAGTATATATGGATGTTAAGCAACGGCAATGACATGCATAATATATATATGTACATATGTATCTCTGCATATTTGGTTATCAGCTAGCACAGATTGAGTTTGGCGAAGCCGTTACAAGCTATGGCTCGAGGTGATTGTTTGCTGTGGCAAAGTAGCCATATTGGAGCGTAAAATATTCGCATGCCAATGTGCCTAAAGATATGCATACATACATATGTATGCACTAGTATGTATAAGTATGTTTGTATGCTGATTGCTACATCGCGTGCTTTGCCATTGCCAGCCGCTTGCAGTGTGACGAATTGTATGTATGTCCATTAGGGTGGGTAAATTTTTTTTTAACTATGCGCATATAGCATAGAAGGATTCTACGTGTAAGCAAATTTTCCGAAGAAACCATGGGTCTTAAATCAATTTGAAGCTTGCCAAATTGCGAAAATCTGTTGCGAAAGAAATGTGAAAGTTTTCACTTTTGTCACGCTCTCTTGTGGAAGTTTTAAGAAAAAGATAAGTGCAGAAATGGATTCCTTATACCAAAAAAAACCCTTATAGATTGCTTTTATAAAAAATTTCAGCACTTCTTTACGACACTACATCAAAATACTAAAAAATACTATTTTGGCAAATTTGGCAAACTCCAAATTGATTTTACACCCATAATTGCTTCCCAAGATTTTCTTAGAATTACACGTAGAACTCTTCGAAAATATATCTCATACAAATTGATCCGACCTAATGTCCATACCTACATACATACCCACATATGTACATACATACACACTATGTAGCTCTCCAGCTCGAGGCAGGATATCATCCATTTAGCATATTGCACTACATGCATTTGTGTTGCGTTTTTATTTTCTTGCTACTTCGTTTGCCGATTTTCCGTTGTTTTTTGTTTAAAATTTTGTATAGCATGTTATTCGTATTTAATTTATAAGCTTGTACCGCCCGTTGTCGCTGCATCTGGCTTAAATTTTTTTCTGTTGTATTTTATTCTTAAATATGCCAGTTACTACGCGTATGTTTGTAAATGTGTTTGCACATAAATTTAGGTTAATATAACATTTTTCCACACACACACACACACACACACACACGCATATGTATTTGCAATGCGAATTTAAAGCACAAATACGGCTAGTTGGTCAGGTCTGCGCGTTGCTCGTTGCATACTCTCTGGGGTCCTTCGCCACTGGGTCGCCTTTAGTGAGCTTATTTTTTATTTGTTTTTATTTATTTATCTCTTTTGTGGTTGGTGGTGCCTTTCATATACATATATCTATTTACATACATACACATATGTGGTATATATACTAGCATGTGTGAGACAGTTATTGTAGTGGCCCTTCCCTGTGAAACAGGCGATTTTTTCGAATTTAAACTGTTCAAGTTGGGCTGCTGGGATTTAATTTAGCGTAGTTAATTATCTGTAGCTTCGTAACTGTTTTCTTTAACAAAAGCAATTATATATTAAATAAGTGGTTGAGATACACATACATGCATACTCATAGAACCAACTCCAATATGAGCGTGTAAATATATCAGCGATTTTATTTTATGTTCTTAATTGTTCTATAGCTGGTGTCTATCGTTTATTTTTTTTTTTTTTTTTTATTTTTACCTTCAGTTTATTCTCTATTCGATATTATGTTCTTTCTTTCTTTTATAAGTGGGTTAATTGGTGCACCTAAAGTTCCTAACTGTTACTCTCTATTGGCTTTAAATCCTTTTTTCACTTTCAACTAAACCAAGAATCAAATCAAATTTATTCACCAAATAAATGTAAAAATTAAAAAACTTCGCACTAAATTCATTATTTGCAAAATATTTTCAGTACCCATTGTTGAATTTTGTTTAATAAAGACTTCGTTTTTTGTTTCTTTTTTCCACGTTTTTTGTTCGTTGTTTTTTGGTTTTTCGTGTAAAAACTTTTTGTTTGATTTTTGTTTTGAAATTTGTAATTTTTGTACAAAAAAAAAAAACATTCACCAAAACACCATAAAATGTGTATACTGTACAAAAATTCGAACTCGAAGAATGCCCAAAACCCCTGTCTGATGGAGACAACACAAACGGCAGGCCCGCAGGAAGGTCCACCACCACTACCACCACCATCACAACCACAAGTACTATTACTACCTCTACTACTACTACCACTACCACTACTTTAAGTACCACTACAAATGCCAGCACTGCTGCCAGTGCTGTTAGCCACCAAACCGCCACAACAAAAACAAATGTTTCTGCATTTGTTGGCCAAACAATCGAGGCTAGTAATAAATGCAACATAGCAACAAAGTCAACAATTGCATTTGCTGAAACAAATACACACACTACAGTACCCACACCCATACATACGAACTCACTGTTACGCCCTACAAAGACTGCCAAAGCGTTGGCCGGGCAATTGACACCGCAACGAAGTGACACGACCGACGCACAAAAAGCGACAGCGACAGCGACAGCGACAGAGACAGCGGCGTGCGAGAGCAACAAACCTAATAATATTGCCGCCCCAAACGCAACAACGACATCATCAACAGCATCTACAAAAGCACATACTGGCTCAGTAGCACTCAAACCTATACTCAAGTGCCATGATAGCAGCACTAAGACGACCGACACGGCGTATGAGCAACAAGCAATTACTATGTCGCCAGTACAACGCGCCAAATTGCAACTGAATATGGCGGCACTTAAGGCAAAAGCACCGACGACGATGCGAGACGCAACAATGGCTGATATGCCTGATGAAGTGCCCATACTGCCGAAGAAGCCGGCGCCGAAATCACCGCAAATTACCACTTACACACCCGTCTACACGACAAAGACGCTCACAGCGTCACCGCCGAAGACATATGAAAATGTGGAATTCATTGCCAGCCGAGTAGTCGGGGATGTTACAGCAGATACCGAAGTGGCAAGTCATACATCAGCCATCGATGTGGAGGAAACCGTCGACGTTAAAGATAATTACACTGGTAATGATGCGACTCAGATGACAGGCGGCGATGCAAAGCTGCCGCTTCTCGTCAACCCTGTGACCGAAGCAGCGCCACCGAAGAGCATAAATGAGCAGGAGACACCAATGTTGGCGCAATTACGTGTTTATCAAAGAATACAAGAAGCTAATTTAAATGCGGAGAAGCCGAAAACAGAAGAAGTAAGTGAAGAGGGTGGGGCGGAAGAAATTGTGAGATCTCAGGTAACTCAAGCCAGCGCCGCGGATGTTATTGCTCATGAGGCCAAAGATGGAGCTGAAGATGATGACGATACGCCTGGTGAGGAATACACTGACGACGATCTCGATGAAGCTTTGGCAGAGGAGGTCGATGAGGCAGAAGCTGGAAATGAATTGGCTGCCAATGAAAAACAGATGACGCAAAGCCGAGATGAACTAACAGCAAAAACCGAAGCTCCTGCTCAAGAAACGCATGAATCGAAAAAACCAGCGGCGCCGGAATTCAAACCGACAGTCACAGACGAACCCCGCACTCCATTTATGCCCACACTGATGTTCGATGAAAGCCACTACCTGCCCATGACGCCGAAGAAGAGCGATTTGGCGCAAAGCGGAAATTTTACACTCATCAGCACGCATGACTCCACTGCGGCGGATGAGAGCCCCTATGTGGAAATGTGCAAAAATCTTATAGACGAAGACTCCAAATCCAACTATGAGATTATGTGCATAAATCCTCATGCTGGGCCAGCATTAACAAGCGCTGCAAAGCTTAAACAGTCAGTAGAACAATCCGAGCCTGTCTATATGGAATTGTGTGGTGCCAACAGCGGCATTGTCGAAGACATAAGCAGCTCAGCCGCACCACAGTTCAACCCCAACCCAGCCCCGATTCAGCCCCCGGCACCACCATTAACCGCCGATGAGCTGCATAGCTCCTCTGGTAAATCCACGCTGAAAAAGAGTAAAAAATCCGCCGATACACTAAAGAAGAAAGCGAAAAAGTCGACCACCGAACGCTCGCAATGCAAGCGCAAAGATCTGCCGGACATACTCAAGCAATCACAAGGCACAATGACGCACGTGTCTGATAGCTCCGATGCCGACGATGAGTCGACAAAGCACAGTGATCTCAAGAAAATGCGCTCGCGTACGCGCTTCAGCTTATCGGACACCTTTCGACCAGCTTCCTATTATCTGGGTGCATCCACGCCGCTTGCTGATTGCGCAGAGAGTTCGGATAGCGAGATTGTATCGCCGCCACCCATACCAGCCTCACCGCCGCCGATGGAAAACTTGAAAACAGAGGAGATATTCTCTTCCGAACACTACGATACGGTGAAAAGACGCGACAGCAGCAGCGGAAGCGCCACGAAAATCAACATCTCGTACGAACAAATACCAAAGCTGCATGCAAGCAACACTTCGCTGAATAGACAAAAGGCAGAAACAACTTTGAAGAGTAGTCGCTTGTCACTGCCCGATCAGTTCTCGAAGCACCGCAGCTCCGGCCATTTTAAAACGCCACACGCAAGTGCCCTTCTTAAACATCACGAGCGCACTCTATCCGACTCGAACTACAGCTTCCAAACTGACAACAGTTCGAACAACTCCTCCGACTTCGATTTCTATAATAAACTCAAGCAGAACTCACCATCGTACGTTGCCACGCCAGGTCGCTATCAATCCAACAGCTCCCTGCCGCAAAAGTTCGTACTGAATGCCACAACGCCCGCTGGTGATAGCAGCGAAACCGATTCGGCAGTGGAGTTCCGACACCGCCAAGGATCGGACTCCGAACTGGAACGACAAAGATCACGCCGCCCACTTTCAGAAGAGTCCATTAGTGAGATTGAATCATTGCGGGAAAAATTCGAGGAAACTTTATCTCACGATTTGGATACCTACCTGAGCCATTTGCAGTCGAACGACTTATACCTCTATCAGAACACATTATTGGACGCGCCGCTACGTATTGGCTCAACAGATTTACTAACGAAGCTTATCAAACCACCAGAGATATTCCGCAACAAGGACGACGAGCATTTTTATGGTAACATTCGCTTTGTTTCCTCCACAGATTCGTTGCAGCGATTAGGCGGCGATAATCGTGAGAACTCCGGAACGGTTGCGGGTGCAAGCTGCCAAACGCCCACCTCCAGCGGTCACGACCACGATAACTCGAAATACTACACGCCCTTGCACAGCCGGAACAACAGCAACATCTCCGACAAATCAGCGCCTTACTACTACTCCGAATTGAACAGTAGCCGCGAGTTGCTCGCTACACCCACAGCACCACTGAACAATCAGCGCGACGTGCACGCTCATGGCTCGAATATAGCGCACATTCACAATCCCATCGAAGGACATGCCATTTCTAATATAAATGTGGACTTGCTAGCCGACAAGGATCGGGCAATCGACAGCAAAAATTTGTACAAAATGAAGACGAACATCGAAAAATTGAGCTACCGCTCCGGCAAAATATTGAATGCCGCGGACATTATGCAACCCAGCACATCGGCTGCTGCCGCCTTCGTCTCATCCGCATCAGCGGGAGTCTACGATCACCAACGGCGGCATGCGCATGCCACCAAATTGAGTAATTTCCAACAGACTAACCTACTTCATACGCACACTGAACTAACGCCATCCATTTCCATGTCGCCAGCCATCAATCGCACGCCCATAGCGTCATCACAAACGCATTCCCCCTATCCTACATACAGCGCTGCCATTGGCGTTCACGTCGCCGGCGGCGGTGCCATGAAAGTCACAAATATGCAACAACAGCAGCTTAGTCGTAGTAATATTGTCGGTGTAGTGGCTCATCCGCGCCATGTTATTGCCGGTGAAGGTAGCGATATAGACATGGTGGCGTCACTTGACAGCCAACCGCCCACTAACACTAACCTCATAGCGGCACAAGCCGCCGAGCGCACGCAAACAAATAACGCAACAAAATTCTCAGTTCCAGGTGCAACAGTAACCGGTGAACTGCTGTGGGAGGAAGACACGCTGTGGCGCGAAAGTTTGCGACGCGTTTCCCAACGCCATGCGCGCTCACTTGACGACCTCGATCGCATTGCGGCCAGCCCGACAGCGTTGATGAGACGCGAACTGCATGCGGCAGATCGAACGACTAGCAAAACAAAGATCACGCGTGACGTTACCTACGTCAATGACAATGTATCACATCAGATGCGTGCCGCTTACAAACCGCGCTTGAGTGAGCCGCTCAGCCGCCCTGTGGCAAGGGGCCTGGGCGACATGCCAACGCATGCGGATGAGGACGATCGCCTCAATGAAAATGACGTGTACGTGCAGCTGTTGGCGGATCACACACCAAGTGATGATCACAACTCGGATGTGTATGAGGTGCTGCGCGCCGACAGTGGTTCCAATCTGTCGCACAAATCGGCAGAGATTGACCGCGAAACGATACGCCAATGGGACTCGATGTCCAGCGGCTTGATGAAGCATTCGGGCAGTAATAGCAACTCGGAGAATGACAACCCATGTGGCAGTGAGAGTCTGACGAGTGTTGGCAGCACAGTGCGCGCCATTATGGAGCAGCTGAATGTAAGCTGCGACGACAGCGACAATGTTGCGCATACGCCCAGTGCCACCGATGTCGAGTAAAGTGCCAATTTATCAAACAGACACCACAGAAAAAAAAAAAAAAAATGTACAAATTTTGCAAACAATAGCTTAACTTTAGTGTATATAAAAGGTCAAATGCCGGCTGTGCCGAAATGACAGCGAACAAAAAAATGCATTCTGCATTGTAAACCACCTGTTTTATGCGAGCAACAGTTGCACAGTCATACACCGAATATAATGTAGGAAATCTGTTGGCGGCGGCGGCTTTCAGCGATTCTATTGTTTACCTTGTTTGTCTGCTAATTGCATTTGCATGTATGCGAAACAAATAAGACCAGCATCAACAGTGGCTGAACAACGCAGACGATTGTGTAAATTTTGAATGCAAAACCTTAACTATTCGCGCACCGAATTTTATCGAATTTAACCAAGGGCGATATTACACTTTTGTTGTTGATTTCCCAGCGCGGTGCAAATAACTTTGAAAACAAACCAACGCAGAGTGCTAAAACGACACACAAACTGATATTGCAAGCAATTACAAGCTAACGGGCGCGCACACACACACACACACCCATACAAATTGTGGAAACCCAAACAAATATGAGTTTGTGTGTGCACCTGTCTAAATTTATTGAATTTGCACAATCAATTGAAAACAACTACAAACAAATGCACATACTTTTACACCACCAGCCACGTAAATAAGGACACACAGGCACACTTACATACATACATGCATACATATAGACAGTTACTGAAAGCACTAGACGACTGGCGCGGCGCGGCGCAACAGACACAGAGCAACAGCCGCACACTGCACGAACACTTTGAGAAATAAAAATATTTTGTTGCCTGCAATTTGCAATTACATATTGTTATTACTTTGTTGACTGTTGATTGTTGTTGTTATGGCTGTATGAACAGTTTTATTTTGTAATGGTAACAAATATGCGATAATACATAAATGCAAAAATGTTATAAGAAAACGGTAAGCAACTTTATTTTTCTATTTTACTACAAATATTTTCTCCTTCCTCTACTTCACTGTTTCCCGTTGTAAATTTTAATCCTTCAAAGCGCTTTGTTCTTTTCGCTAAAGAATTTAACTATTAAATAATCGTAAATATTATCTTCTATATTAAAAACATACCCTTATTTAGCTTTGCTAAAAGCACTAACCAACACAGGAATTATTGCTTTACTGTATACTTAATTACTACAACACAAATAACAAAAGCATTTTGCTGAAAAATAATAATTTAGCTGTAAAAAAAACCATTTACTTATTTTATAGTTGAATGTACAAATTGTAAATTTTTTCTGTGTAAAAATGTTTAACTTTATTTTTTATGAATAAGGCCATAAGTATGCAAATAATAATGCAAAATATTAATGAAGAATAAAGCGAAATCTATGTCGCTGGTTGCTAAGGAAAAAGTTGAATCTGACCAAAATTACCAAACAACTATACAGGGTGTCCTAGACCACCCGCCTATCCCCTCTAAAATGGGGATGTTTTTGTATTTTGGTGGTATTATCTACTTCCAGTTTCGACCGGAAATGGCTTAAACAGACCGGAAGTATTTTTTTTTTTTTAATTAGACACAAATGTTTTTACTACAGACTAGGATTATGATTAACATTTGTTTGAAACTAATTTCACGGCAGTGCTTTTGCAACCTCCAAATGAGCTGCGAACTTCAATTCGTCCCGGACTTCTAAATTGGACCAAAATGTGCTTTAAAAAGCAACAATAAATTAATCACAAAGTCGAGGATGCTAAATATTTCGGTACAAATACCCTCCAATTCAGAGGGAGTGGACGGGTGGTCTAGGACACCCTGCAAATGTATATGAGCTTTTAAAGTGGTATAAGTCCATTTTCTCATATGGCAAGGGTGTTAGAGGTTTGTGCCTGAATTGATTTCAAAATATTTACAAACATTAATCCATGCGTGTAATGATTCTCTATAAACGTACCAACCGCCTAATTCTGTGTTTTCTTGATAAATTATTTGTAAAGAAATTGTATTAAGTAAAAGCTCCCATCGCACACTGTGTCAGTATTTGTAAAATAAAAAGCTCTACGATCTCCACACTGATGGAAATGATTTCATTGACACATATGAAAAATATGAATTTACTTCAATTTTCATATAAAAATTTAAGATTATCGTTAATTTCTTCGTGATCCAATAATCGGATTTAATTCAAATTAGTATTTGCTTTCCTTTAAAAATTTAAAAAATTATAGAAATCGGATGACGCGTTCCAAACTTATGCGGTAACATACATAAAAAAAATACGAATTGATAACCTTTACCTTTTTGTGAAGTCGGATAAAAAGAGCTTTTCATTTCTTTCGTTCCAATTCCTGATAAATAATAAAAAATGATAAATTATAAAAAAATTTCATTTATCGAGTGCACAGAATCGGGCTGTTTTTTTGTTACAGAATAATAACTATTAAAATTGTTAAAGAATATAAACAAAATTTTAGCTCCAAATGGACTATAAGAACCAAGACAAAAGAGGATTTTAGTGCTGTTCTTGCAGACATAGGGCTGGTTTATACAACTCAACTTAACTTAGTTTAGCCATTTTTTGGACTTAAGTCAAAAGTTAGCCTATTTATATATATATATATATATATATATTTTATGGTCCGATTTGCTTCATAATTAAAACCTATGTATATTAATTGAGTAGAAAGAAATAAGTCCTAAAAAATTAGTCGTTAGGTGGGCGGGTGTCGGTTTTTATTTTTTGTTAACCACTTATTAAAGCGTTTTTGTAACTTGTTTGTTTTCAAGCTAAAGCATAATTTCATTTGTGTTAATAGTGTCTAGTGTCGAAAGAATTTTGACATCTATATATCATATCTCACAGCCTGTTGTCTCACCTTTATCCTCACGAAATGATGGAACGAGCATATATTTATGTTGCAAACATGGGTTGCCTTGTGCTTTCTTTTCGCAAAAAACGTTAAAAAACCGTAGTAGAAAATGTAGAAAATTTCTTATGAACTGCGTACTGCCTTAAAGAAATTTGACGCAAGAAAATTTCCTCGCCATTTCTTGAGCATTCTTTGTATGGAATTTTTGCTTTCCTTGAGAACTGAAAGTAAAAGTATAGCCATTGAAATTATTTTGTTGACTTTAATAACTCTGATATACACAAGTATTCGTTATCGAAGACTCACCGGAATTATAGATGACTAAAATGTATGATGCATTTGCAAAAAAAAAACATAATCCTTTATGATCGAAAAACTTACACAGCAAGGTGTATGTGAAATAAATATTTGAAATATTGACGCTGCTAAAAACGGAGTGTAAGGTGAAGCGAAAGAAACTGAGAAAAGCTTCTCTTTTAAAAATGCAGCTTAAAATTTTGATCCAAAAAAAACCAATGTGTTGGAAGAAATTCCTATGGACGCTCCGGAGGCAATTTTTACTCATATTTACCCAGATGAAAACATAAAACTACCTTCGGAATATTTTTCTAAAAATTTTCTTTGCCAAATCGTAGGTGCCACTAACCAAGCATTCAATGTTTTCGAACTCATTTTAGTGTAAATCTTACGCTGTGGCTGAGTAGTTAGAGCTGCGTGCTGCCACTTCGTATCCAAATCCATCCAAATTAAAACAAAAAAAAGCGGTCTCTCTTCGGCAGGCAATGCCAAACCTCCGAATGTATTTATGCTGGTGAAAATATTTCGTATAAAATCCTTTTGCCGTTCAGAGGCGGCGTAAAATATGCAACGAGCACTATAAGACCCCGTTCACATGATAGGCTCTAACTTGCGTTTATAATATATTTATATATTATATTATATTTGTAAAATTCTAACGCTGCGTGTAGCTTTAAAAGTTCTAGTCTTTTGTTTTTATTTCAATGTTCATAAACCACTTTGCTGTATATTAAAATTTTTTGTGCTTTTGAACGCAAATAATTTTGGTAAACTTGGTGTTTTAACGCAATTAGCAATAACAATACTAACCAACCACCGTTAATTCATCGAATTGTAATCAATCCCCATTTTTTCGGCACAAACTAACTCCAGTTCGTTCATTTATCACCAAAAAAAAAAAATACTAAAGCCAATAAGAACCGTTAACTGTTTGTGAATCTATGTAGAATTTACTTGCTACCTTAAGTATGTATGTATGTATAGCTTGCCTTCTGCTCGACGCTGAAGCATACGACCTCATACTGCTTCCACGCTCTATCCTAGTAACGTCCTTATAGAGGCTGCCTTTTTCCCACTTAGCCCCAAATATTCCACGCAACTCTTCTCTTATCTTATCTTGAGCTACTCTCGTCTTTCCTCTCCACTCACGCTATCTCTTTGCCTACTGGATTGAGAATTAAAACTCTGGCACATGCAATTTGTCATTTTGTCTTTTTTTTCTCTTTGCTCTTTTCTTCCACACATACACATACATATATACATACATGCACACGGTCCTACCACTGCCGCTGCAACTACACCATCGCTACATATATCCATATCTGTGCCATAACCAGCAGCGTCAATTTCGGTGCGGAATGTACGCAATTTACCCAAAGGCAACCTCACCGTAAAACCAGATCCTTCGGATGCACACAATCCTCTGCAGCAGCAGCAGCAGCAGCAGCAGCATCTACAACAACAAAAGCACTTAGTACAAGGCAATTATGATCAAGCGTTGGGCAAACTTACGAATTCCTACTATGGCACCGCGCACGATACGAAATACGCGAAGACAACAACACTCACGGATCGAAGTGGCAGTCATGGCATAGGAGGTGTTTATGGCAGCAGCGGACTACTTTCGGGTGGCAATAGCATATTGGCCTCCTCCACGCCATTGCATCCCAGCGTGAATGGCGGCGACTATTATGGTGGCGTTGGTAGTGCGGCTGCTGGTGGTGGCGGCTTATGGCAAGGCCAACAGCGACAACAACAACAACAACAACAATATCAAGCAGCAGCAGCAGCAGCATATCCGCTGAGACGCGTGGAGAGTCGCGCTGAAATCGATATGTTGGAACGTGAGACCAGCACACAGATGAGGGTGAGTAGTACGCGAGGCACCCACTTTAAGGGGGGATGTACCCACTTTAAGAAGAGCAAGAGTTGAAGAAGGTTTTGTGACGGCGTTTTAGCGCCTGAAATATATCGACTTGCATTGATAAATGCGACGGAAATCATTTTGCACGGCTGCAGCCAAAGTCAAATGGCTAAAGTTTGGCATTCAATAAAACAAAAAAAAAAATTGGAAATGTTGGTAAGGAATGTGTGTGTGCGTATTGGAGAACGCGACATTGAAAGAAATTCAATTTAAAGTGAACACACCAGCTATTTATTAATTTGCTGTCCGCGTTTTGCCATTTCTCTTTTGTTCCATTAATATTGCTTGGACTTTTGTGTTATTAAGTTTTGTTATTTTTAGTTTTTACTAATGTGCCAAATTTTTTTCATTTTCAATTTTATTTGCTTTAATTTCAAATACCCGCAAATATTGCAATTTCAAAAATGTTGCGCACCTGCGTCCTTTCGCCGCTTGCCTGCATGCTTTTGGGTGTGTCTGTCTCCAACCCCGATTTGCTGCCACTTAGAATCTGGATGTATCCGCTGGTGATTTACTAAGTCGTACACATGAGGAGCTGGTTCTGCTGCTGATACAGTTGAGGCGACAAAACAGCAATACGGCGCGCGCCATCGAGCAATGCTGCAGTGATATTCATGAAGTGCAGGTTGATAAATACTTTTTACTCATGTATATCTACATATCTACATACATACATATAACTAAAATAGCGGGTGTTGGTCTTTTGGAATAATTGAGAACTGATCTTAGTTTCTTATTCTCTCCTAAACGATATTATTCGCTGAATCACCGTTACAAACTCTGCATCTTTCCCTAGAATCGTTTACGCACTGCGGAGGGTCTGACACGCGCCGAGAGCATACAGCGCTTGGATTACCTGAAGCAACATCTGCTCGATCTGGAGCGCCAGTATGAGAAGAGCAAGCCGCTAGTCAACCTGGTGGACAATATGGTGAAACTGGGTTCACTTTATCGCAACAACGACATAAACGGCCGACAGCCGCAACGCAACGAGGCCGTTACACTCGATCGACTCGAATTCAATCAGCGCATACAAGAGCGACGCATGCTGCAAGAGGAGCAGAAGCAATGGGATCGACTCAGTCCCAATCACAGCGAATTGCAGGTAAGCGACCAACCTTGGTGATTACGAAAAATATTTTAAGCAAATAATTTCGCTAAAATTGAAGTAATACATATTCCAACACCGTCTTCAAAAGGGGCACAACTCGAAATTACACGTTTGTCAGAAAATGTAAAAAACTATTTCTTAGCACATGATAATCATATGGGGAGACTTTACCTTAGGCTTTTGCTGAAAGGCAAATAAAAGCTCTGTGTACATTTTTAGCGCATAATTTCAAAAATGTCAAAATTTTAGTTGTGCCTCTTTTGAATATGGTGTGCGTTATGCATTGATTTCATCTGCATGTATTTCTTAATTCTCATTCCTTCCCTCCCTCCCTCATCACCAGTCCAAGGTCAATCAACTCTACCAACTCGATCAGCTGCTGCAAGAGGAATCTGGCACTTTGCAAAATTTGCAGCGCGACAAAGAGGAATTGGAGCGCGCCTTGGGCGGCTTGCGTGCACGCATACAGGACACTTCCGGGCCGCCATTGGCGCTCGAGGCGGCCAAAAAACAACAGCACATGCTGGAACGTGAACTGTCGCGTGTGCATCAGCTTTTGGCGGAGAACTCAAAGGTAGTCGAGGTGCCTAGTATAGAAGTTTTATCGTCTGTTATTTTTGTTTTGTGCGATAACAATGAAGAGGCAAAAAACTAAAAAAAAAAAAAATAGTTGTCCATGCTGCATCCAAAAAGCTTATGAATGCGCTTAAAACTGTGACTAATCAAATGCCAAACTTATGACTAAGTAAGCCAGCAAATATGCCTACATAAGTACTAACACGCTGCAACGCTTATAACAACTTATAAGCTTAACACACATATCAAAGCAAATTTAATGTTTGCATATCGTCGATGATACTGCAAAACGTTCTATGTCACATATTACCTCTGGTGCTCTTAATTGATCTGTTATCTGTATCTGATCGCTTCTGGAAATCGTTTATCTTCATCAGCCAAAGGCAGATAGTTTTGGCGTTCGTTTATTAGGGTGTAACGATTTGCAGGTGCATGCCGGTGCAAGTAAGATACCATCTAAATGTCAAGAGTACTAATTGACATAGACCGTTTTGCAGTATCACCGACGACATACAGGATACTCGGTTATAATATGCGTATACACTTCAAGCCCTAACCGCCAAAAATACGTTTTCAGTTGCAGAAATGCATCTAGAAGCTCCAGGAACAAAAATTAAAAAAAAAAACATGGCGCTAACGTCTTTTTGTAGGTTAAGGCTCGCTATATGTATGTATGTATTAAGCATGAAAAATTTTCGTTTATGTATTTATTTAATATATTATTTTTATTTACCTTAAGAATTTAACTCTTTAAGTGCCGTTTTCTCGAGTAGGTTTTAAAATTTATCTGCCCTTCATGCCTATTTTTTTCTGAATCGGCAGCTGAGATAGGGCGTTCTTCAACTAAAATAATAATAGTTCTTTTTAACGACTATTTTGATGACTAATAACACTTAGTGCCTAAAGGTATGCTACACGCCAAGCAACTGGCATCAAACCGGATATAAAGCACGTTTTAATATAGAAGCATGCGCAAAGCTCTATGTGCAAACTTTTCATATTAGAAATTGTTTATGCACATGCACTTCTCAACTGGCGCAAAACAAAGCCTACTAAAGTAGTTAATTGCTGGCACTAATTCGGGAATATTTCGAAGCTATTCGGTAAATACTGCAACAGTACTTCGGATTTCATATCGACTGACAGTAGACTAGTATGCTGAGATTTAGCAAATACTTTGCGTGTTGGGTACCTAATCAAGGTTGCCGTTATGGGCTTTTCCTACCAAATTTGGTAAGTTTTTTTCTCGTTGGTAGGATGGTAGAATGCTTAAAATTTTGGTAGGTTTCTTTGCTCATAAAACAGAAAACATCTCTGGTTTGTTAGAGTGTGTCATTTTAACAGCACTGTGATTAGGCTTGTCAAAATGGGACAATATCAATTTTAACCTCATTCTGTTTCTCGGATGGGTCCAACTGTTTGCCAAATACCTTAAAAAACTCGAACAGAATTTCGCCAATTACCTTCGGCGATTCTCTGAACTCCGCACACGCTATAAAAAGTTGTATCCACTAGGTATCTAAAGGGATATTAACTAATTAAATTGATGGACGTAAAGGCAGGTTCATAAATCAGATATTTTTCTTTGAAATGCAGTGGCGAATCGATGGCACCAGAAGAGCGATTCAAATGCGTACTACATAACAAATGTACGTGTTATTTTATATCATACACGGAAATGAAAAAAAAAACTACTTATTGTTTCCAGTAAATCGGAGGATCTCAAAGTTTTTAACTGCAAAAAAAAAAAATTCTACGTCGGAATTTTATTTTCCATTGCCATTTTTTCGGTTTTTCGCATTTTATTCGAAATTTTGACGGCGTAGAAGTAAAACGTACGCCAGATTCGGGTACAGCAGTTCGGTTGTTGTTGTTGTAACCGCCCAGATCGGTTAGTATCCCAGTCGTTGTCATCAAGTTCAACTAACGGAAGTCCCAACAAGCGTGGAGCCTCAACGGGGTCTGTCCACAGGGACAAAGGCGTTAGTTGTGTGGGGTTTTCCGAGCATACGAATAGATTTCTCGAGTCATGGGTTGTCTCTCCGAATGTCGGATACTCATTTGGCACATCTGCATCTAAGCTGCTCAGGCATGAGTTTAACCTGTTGCAGTAGCCAAAACGAAGTTGGGATCTTGTGGTTCTAGTCTCCCGTGGCAGACAAAGCTGACGTGTCTTGGCGAGGGCTCCTCTGCAAGCAAGTGTCTGTTCGGGTGTCCACCTATGTGGCTCCCTACTAGAAAATGCTTGCAGAGCATACGAAGATATGTAAATGCGAAGAACAAAGCGAAGTTGAATGCGAAGGCGAAGACGAATAGCAAGAAGAATATGAACACCAGCACTACGACGAAGAAAAATACAAAGACAAACTCAAAGATGAATGTAGATAGATATATGTAGATAAAGACAAACACGAAGTCGAATACGAGTCCGAAGTCGAATGCGAAGACGAAGGCGAAGTCGAGTAAATTAATACCGAGACTAAAGTTAATATTAAGATTAATACAAATTTCTGCTTCTCCTTTTTTACCGCGGCAATAAAATGATTTTTTTTTTAATGCTGTGCACCTTTGGTTTTTGGTTAAGTCGGTGCGCAGGAATCTTCCAAGGATAGGCTCTTAGGCATAAGCAACAAAAATGCAGACGGTTCAACATCTATACCGCAAACTCACGAATTAAATACTCCAAAGTAAACTACATATTGCTTTCATGCTTTCATCGTCATAACAGCATGCCAAGCAATTCTCTTGCCAATGTATAACTAACTAACCCAAACAAAAACTTCTGTGCACATATTTCTCCCACACAGAAATTGGAG